GGGAAGCCGAAGCTGAGCGTCGCACGGTGGGGTTCTGGAAGACGTCGCTGCCACGTAGAATTTGGCTTGCCGATGGGTCCTCGTTTGATGAAGCCACCATGCCAGAATAGCTCGGATCTTCCATAGACGACTGCACGTATGAGTCCGTAGAACCCTGCTTGTGGATTCCGTGACGAGAGTCATCAAGACGGTTCCGGCTCATCGAGCGCCGGTTACCGCTGAAGCTACGCCGGGGCGAGGAATCGCGAATGATAGTCGACAAGTCCAGACTACGGCGGCGGAACCCCCTAAAGGCATCGAAACTAGCTCGCGCAGCATCCATACTGGCGCGTGGGCTGAGAGCCGAGGGGCTGTGAGCAGACAGTGGCGACAGCGTCGCCTTGACAGCATCGGGCAGCTTGGTCGTCCTAAGCTTCGGCGGCGCGATACGTCTACTTACGCTCATGGAGCTGCGGGCCGAAGCTGGCACCGGCTGCTTCTCTTGCCTCTCCTGCTCCTCCTGGGCCTGCGCTGCCTTGAGAAGGGCGGCATCCTTTGCGCTGGACGAGGCATCCTCAATGAGAATCTTGAGCACACTGATGGCGTCCTTGCCGAAGCTGAAAAAGGAGAAAAAGTATTCGTCAATGGCGTAGGTCTCGTCATTGTCAATGACACGAATCTTGCAAGTATCGGCGAACTCGAGCATTTGGGTATCCTCGATGTCGATGACATTCTCAATGGGCAGCGAGATTTTCACACTGTCACCCTCATTGTGAGAACGGAAGATGACTCTCTGCAGACTCTTGACCCATTCCTTGGCACTGGGAGCGCTATCGGCGCGGAAGTGGTACGTCCGGTGGTGAGTAACGACGGTGAAGGTGAGGCCATCCTTGTTGTTGTTCACGCTGGCTGAAATACCGTAACGGAGGTCGATCTGGCCGCTGGGAAAGTAGACATTGGAGGGGTCCTTGTAGTATGCTAGAACATCACCCTTGAGGCGGAACCAGTATCGATTATACTTTGGATTGCGCTTGCCGCTCTTGGACAGATAGCCCGACTTGACGACCTCGTGCTGTGGTTTCTATTAGTATGTATTGCAGCAAGATGGGCTATAGCAAAGGTGAGTACGCACCGCCTTCTTTGGTAGGTAGGCATAGAAGCAAATGTGCTTTGCCGTGATGTACATATAGCCCTGGAGTAATACGCTCTGGAGCAACCAACAAGGGTATTCTGCTTGCATATTAGCCTATTTATGCCCATTACTGGCGGGGTATTATTCATGAACATACCCTCAATGACAGCTTCGGGGTGGTCAAACTCAAAGATGTCCTGCAGACGGCGCGCCAACGCAGTGGAGTTTGAATCGCCAGAGTCGCTGTAATTCAGCTGGTCGCTAGACCGGCGGTCGACGTCGAAACTGGGTCTTGCGGACATTTCGGCCTTTGCCTCGAGCATCCTGCTCATAACGGGGGCCAGGCGGTGGCCGTCTTGGTCATCGTCTTCTCTTGTATCATCGGCGGGTTGGGACGGAGAGGGCTCGGAGGTGTCGCTAGCTTCCTCGGAGGTGGGCTCCAGCTTGGAGGGCTCCTTTTTCGACTTGTGCCGTGGCAGACGTGGGAGCGCCGGTAGCGATCGGAGGAGTTTTGAGCCGGAGATCTTGCGCCGGTGTTTTTCGGTCTTGGAAGAGGAATCCTTCTTGAGGACGGTCGTCTTTGACAAGTCGGAGTCATTCTGGCGGCGCTGTTTTCGATGCAAGAGGTGGCCGATACCGTGGACCTTGTCGTCGCCGCCTTCCAACTTATCGGCACCGTGACGGCGGGTGGGTTCGTCCTCGTCTCCGCTCTCCTCGTCGCTGGATTCGAAGCGGTCGTGGAAGTCCACCCGTGAGCCGGCCGCAGCAATGAGACCGAAGATGGACTGGTTCATGTTCATAAACATGGGCGGGCCCTGCTGCGGTACCAAGTCCTCCTCTCTGCTATCGTCGCCCTCCTTTAACCTCTCTGGTAGCTCCATGGTAGGGGTATTTGATTCGTGCCGCTTCTTCTGTAATTTTTTGCCGACGCGCTTCTTCACATCGTCCTCGCCGAAGCTGACGCTCGCGGCGCCAGCTGGAGCGGGCGACGCCATCGCTATCGGCGTGTTTGTTCGGTCGGTCGGTCGGTCGGTCGGAGGCAGTCGCTATCTTGGTGAGGTAAGGTAGGACTCCAGGTGTGCGATGACAACCTCTTTGTCCGGGCGGCACGGATGGTGGAGAGGCGGGGAAGGGCGAAAGCGAAGTAGACGATGCTGCGGCGGCGGAAGCGTCGCACTGCGGAGAGGAAGGTGGGAGGGTGGAGGAAGAGTCGTGTGGCTATAGCGGGTTCATTCGGGCGATGACGATAAGGTTTGAGCTCGCGGGAGTGTTACGGGACAGAGAACGAGGCAAGCCGGGCCCAGAGTCTGAAGGCGATCAAGTACAGAGTTAACGGTCAGGTAAGGTGAGCAAGGTAGCGAAGTAAGCAAGGTGAGGTAAGAAAGGTATCCGTGGGTTGGGCCGTTGGTTTGGGATGAAGACGGAATGGCAGCCAGAAACACGGCGGCAACCTTGAAGAATGTACTGTGTAAGAGAGAGACAACAGAAAGTTGAGGAGGGTGGCACAAAGACGAGAGTCAAAAGGGTTAGGTAAGGCAGAGACGGCAGTACTTTACTACCTTGGGTACTTATTAGCCCGTAGGTAGGTAGGAGAGAAGATGGTACGGCTAGAAAGCAAGAGACATGAGGACTGCGGATTACCTAGTACGTAGTAAGAGGTAGGCACCTCGTTGATCAGATGGGAAATGGAACAGTTGAATGAAGGTTATTTATTGCTGTGCCTGAACCCCGGAAAAGACGGGGGGGCTGGGATACAATTGTCAATTGATGGATGGCTCCAAAGGCAAGGGGAAAGGCGGCAATTCACAGCCATCTATCCGTACTACGAAGGTATTTGTTAGGCAGTTCGGTCCCGTAGCATTCACCTTTCACCCTTTGAGTTACCTCAGGAATCCATCAGGTAAGTAGACGGTCAAAATAACCGGGAGCAGCCAGGTCTCTTCAGGTGGAATGAGAGTGTTTTGAGAGAGTCAGAGACTCATCCTCTCACAGTCTCACTTGCTTCATTGTCTTTCGGAAGTGCACTAGCAGCACCTTAGCAGCAGCTGGACTCCCCCAAGTTCTGTGCGCAGCTGCACGCGATGCTGCGCCAAAAGTACGCGCATTTCCTCCTCTCTATCCGCAATGTTCCCGAACCTTGTGGACCTGGGATGCATGGATGCCGTAGGTGCTCCTCTCAGGGGTCCAGTCATTCCTCTCACTTTCTCTCTCTGTTTGCTTTCCCATTGGACCGGTGTCTTGAACAGAGTGGGTTCATCTTTGGTTGCTCCAATGTCTGATTGCATGAAGCTTGTGATGGCCCATGGGTGAGTGGCCCCTGCCTGCTTCTGCCTCTGCTTACCCAGTTCCCAGTGGATAGGTAGGTTTCTGACTGGTCATAGGATAGGCAGAATACCTTGTACCTCATTGCCTCTTCTGGCTCCTCTCAGGCTTCTTTCTTTACACAGAGGTGAGAGTGAGATGAGCATGATGAGCAAGGTGAGGGATGAGAGGCAACAGAAGAAAGGAAAATGGAAGGAAGGCGTCGTGGGGCCCCACAAGTACAAAAGTACAACCTACCTAAGAAACTGCAACCAAGTCCCCTGTGGATCCCCGACATATCCCTACCCTCCCATTGGCCTCAGATTAAGCTCCCTTATCGATAAGCAACTCCCATGACGCCAAAGTGCCCCATCCGGGTCCCATCACAAGATCTTGACAAAAGACATGGGTTGCCATGTGAGCCGACCACTCCGGCCCAGCGCCGCCAGCCTGACCTCGCTCGCTCCCGCCAGACCCGAGGCACACATACCTGTCTTCATCAGCAGATGCATATCGAGACCACTCAGTATTCGCCTTCAAAACACGTTGATACTTACTATCCAGTGGCCAAATACAGTCCGTAGCTGCCGTCACTCACCTGAGCTCAGACTCACTCACAGACCCCAATTCAAGGTGGTAATGAGGGAACCAAGCCTAAAATGACATCAGCCCAGAGTGACCGCAAACGACACTCTCTGGCATGAGCAACTGTCCGAGCACTCAGATTCGCATCGCGGGGGCATCCCAGATCTGCCCCATATCAAGTCCCCTCTTTTGTTGAGAGCCGCCCAAGCTCTGAATGAGAAAAAATAATAAACGCATTCAACATCGTCGGATCTCATTGTTTATTTTTGTCAGACAAGACTTTTTCAACAAGATGGACCATGTTGTGGTGGGCCTCTAGCCCTCACTCGAGGTGTTGTCCAGTGACAAGATCATAATAGTCTCATGTTGATTCTGAATGAGTGCAAAACAAAAAATATCAAAATAATTCGCATCAATATGAGCACCTTGATATTCTAATTCCATACTCGTCGTAATGTAGTTGTTATTCACTTTGTCTCTTTTCCTGGTCTCTAAGCCTTACGCAGTGGGCTCCCTTTCTTTGCACAATGTCAAACTGAGGTGGGTTTCAATGTCTCACTTAAAACCCGACCACTCATGAATCATATAATTCTCATACGAGAGCTTCACTACCATGGGGGATGAATTCCTTGCTTCCTCGTCCTTGCTTGTGGCTTCCATTCTTCCAGCAGCGTTTGTTCCAATTGAAGCGATGTAAGTAACAAACTGAAGACGCACTCACACATGGCGGGATACAACTTTTTATCCCAGTGCTTAGGCTTGACAGCTTCCATCATCCTCATACAAGAATAACCCACGGAAATGGCTAGCAGGAGTCCGGCTTGAAGTAGTTACGACACCAAGGTGCGCGATCGAAGAGCTTGACTGAAGCCGACATCCGGACCCGAAATGCCGGTCACCATCGCCGAATACTACTGCGGGGGCGGGGCATCAACACCCGCGCGAGAGGGGGAGACGGGAAGTGACGACGTTGCGCAGTATATAGAACTCAATCCGTTTCTTGACATCATCTCACATTTCCTCTGCTCACTGCGTGTCTGTCCTCCGTCTCAAGCTTTCCATCACCGCTGCAAATCTCGGGCTTCCCTACAACTTTAGAAACCACGGACCACCACCAAGCGTATCTTACCTCGAGATCTAGCGCAGCATGAGGTATCTCAGATCCCCTCACGCACTGCTCACCTTGCTCACCTTCTTAGCCTGTTTGGCGTAGGTGACTGCCTTTTTCTTTCCAATGATGAGGAATTCCAAGGCTCGCGTGAACATGAGCTCCAAATACTAACTTCACCCAGTCCCTCGTCGCAACAAAGTCCACCCTTCAACGAGAGTAATCTCCCAGAAAACCGCACATCCGCCGCCTTTCCCCTTCCCGTCCCAACACTCGACCTCGACTTCCGCATCGTCGTTGACCTCAACCCGCTCATCCCCGTCGGCGTCGGCCCATTCGGCCAGCGGAACTGGATTTCCTTTTCCGGGGGCGCCTTCTCGGCCAAGTGGGGCACCGGTACCGTGGTCGCCGGCGGGCAGGACAGCCAGATTGTCGTCAACGAGACCCTCAGCACCGCCGTCGAGACGTCCTATCTGCTCAAGACGGATGATGATACGCCGGCGTACATCACTGTGAAGACGACGGGATGGCGGACTGGACCGAGGGAGGTCATGGAGAGGCTGTTTGATCCGGCTAGGGCGAATGATGTCAAACCCTCCGAGTACAGCTTCCGGTTGAATGTCAAGATGGAGACGGGAGATGAGAGATACAAGGATATCGTTAACACTGCCATGTGGGTTGGTAGTGGTGCTCGGTTGGGAGCTACGGTCATCTATGATGCTTACCGGGTGGTTTAATCGCCTGAGTGGATTCCGAGTAACAAGGAGATGATCAACGATAAGATCTTGTCAATTCAGTTGAGCTGTTTTATAAGTCTCATTGGTAAATACTTTCAGACAGAATCAAATGTTCATATGACAGAATGATGATGTGTTACTTCCGGATTGAAACCTTCCCCCCCCCCCCCCTGAATTTCCCTTGAAATTAAAATTGATAGGAAATACACGAGAAAAACCAACATAACACCAACAACGGCCCAAGGTATGTCCAAATAGCCAAGAAGCCTTCTCAGTCAAGTATTATTCATGGAAACACTTATGGACTACATGAGAGTGACGAAAATCAGATGCCAGGAGATGACCCATGCTCCTGCTCACCAATTCAGGGCTTCGTAAACAACCACATATGCTATGGAAAGCCAAGGGCTGGCTGATTTTGGGCACACTTTTAATCCCGACTACGCCCTGCGGTTCTGCTTGACTTATATCCTATCACTATCCAAACTTGCGAGCACTGATAGGACCGCGAATGAAAGAAGACCTCTACCGATCGCACTCCATAGTAGCATGCCTTTTTACTTGTCAGAGTCATGCGATCAACCTAGATACAAGTGTTCATGGTAAAGGGGGAATGAATTCCAAGCTTCAAGTCTGTTCGAGATGCCTTAACCTCATGGCAACTCTCCCCATAGTATCCTAGTGCCCATCGCCCTCTTTGGTTGGAAGCAAGCAGTGACTACACTCGAAACAGTGATGGTACCCCACTCGAGATAACTTCACCCATCCAGTAGTCAATCTAGCTGGGCTGTTTCAGTCATTGTTTGCTTGTTCTCCACTTCCTTTCTTGTGTCTTCAAAGACGATTAGATACTGGTGATTGCAGACCTTCCTTCCACTCCTGAGCTGTCAAATCCTGACACACATCGGTGTTGTGGGTATGCGCCTTTATGGCAGTATTTCCAGCGGCAAACGGTCACGCATTAGTTATAACAATGTAACCAAAATATCCTTTGTCCAAGTCTTTTCCACAAATGCCCCGTTGTTATCCAAGCAACACCTGGCCGAGATCCTATAGGCGGCTTCAAAGCCGCATAATAGCGTTCGGGACTATCATGACCGCCGAAACCGCACAGAGCTGACGGCGTCTGCCTAAGTATGTACTGGATCATAGACAAGCTCAAGTATCCCATCTCCTAGAACCCTCCAGAACACATGTATAAAGTTGACGGCTTGAAGCATCCGCCACCGCAGTAATGACCTCATATCCACCAACGCCGCGCAAAATGACAATCCAATTCCTTCCCTCCCCCCATGGCCAAGAAGGCAATCCACTATACACGAAAATCCACTAGTATCGTACCTATACCTCCAGGCTTACTGCCACAAGCACAGCTTTCCACTTGCTGTACCACCGGCCACCCAGTCCATCGTCGGATGGAAGTGAGCGACAGCAGGAACAGCCGAGATGCCATCTCCGCCCAACTGCGCAAGTTGCTCGCCATTGGCGGCGTACACGTCGACGAAACGGTTCATGTTTCCAATCACAAATTTCTGAATGCCGTCCTTCGGGCGCTTTTGCCACTGGGGCTTCAGAATAGTGACCCAACGGCCAGTCTGGTTGTTATGCTTCACGACATGCTTTGGATCCATCTCGGTGCTCTTGTCCCAGTCGGTGCGGTCCGCCCAGTCGTAGATCTTGATTGTGTCATCGTAGGACGACGTGGCGATTTGGCCCCCGGGACTCCATGACGCGTGAGAGACTGAGAGTCGAGAAGTGTGCTCGTAGAGCATGGCAGGGTGTCTCATATCACCCTTGCCGGTGATCTTCCGCAAATCCCAGATCTTGACCGTTCTGTCGAGAGACGCGGTGGTGAGAAGGTGCGGCTCCCGCGGGTTCAAAGAGAAACCTCCAATCTTGTTGTCAGATAACTGCCACATCTCTGTGGACTTGGGGTCGCGGATGTCGACCTTTCCAACGGCGCCGTTAAGAGTGGAGAAATAGATAATGTTCTTATCCGTTAGAGGGATATCGATGGCAGACAGCGGGATATCCTCATTCTTGTCCTCGGGCTCCCAGACGGGCAAGCATACGTCTTTCTCTAAATCCAGGACACGGACGGTAGAGTCGTATGAGGACGTGTAGACCTTTTGCTGCTCGAACGGAGAAACGATGATGGTCGTGATCGTTCTAGTGTGGATTTTGTAGGCGCCAATCTTGGGGTCAAACCATGCGTCCTCGTCGTCATCGTTCTCCGGGGGGCCATCCTGAGAGGCGTCGAAAACACCTAGAGCGCCTTCCTTATCGCCGGCGAATACCAGGGGCTTGTCCTCGGTAGGATGGAAAGTCGCAGCGTAGATGCGCAAAGGACAGATCTTGATGTCTGGAAGTGTGTGAGCAACTACAACCGAAGACAAACACACCATGCCTGACGTACCTTGCGGGCTCCATTTTTCATAGAGCTCCAACTTGCCCATCTTCTTGCGCAACTCCTTCAGATCCTTATCGGACGTGTTCTCCACGTCTTCGTCGGTAAAGGTGGGAACGCCAGGTTGGGCACCTCGAGGGACCAGTGCACTCAGTCCGGTAATTCCGTTGTTGAACTTTTTGCCGTCGACGGCGATGTCTCCCAGACTAAGGTTGCCACCGATTCTGGTCTTTTTGGCTTTTTCTTGTGCAGCCTTTTCTTCAACCTCGACCTCGTACTTGCGCTTCAGGGTCTCGTTGTCGGCATCGAAGCCTGCAACGCGAGCACTGCGACGGACCGGGCCAGTGGGGGCAACGGGCTCTTTCTTGACGGGAGTCGATCGAGACTTGGGAGCAGGCTTGGGCTTGGGAGGCATGATCTTATTCGAAGCCTTGGCCAAGTCGTCCAACATGGTCTTGTTTTTCGCAATGTTTGCAAGGCGCATCTTCTCGAATGCACTCATCCCCTGCTCCTCCTCTGCCTTGACCTTGGTGCGAGCCATGATTGCGGTTTCCGGGGTGGGTAAGGACGGAAAGAGGTAAATGTATGCGATCTGACGGAGAATAAGTTGTGGATGCGAAGATGTTGAGAAAAGATTCGGTGTGCGAATACGTGTCAGGCTATGGTTATGTCGGCGCTGGGCAACGTCCGTACTCGTCGGTAGCGGGGCTGTTCACGATAGAGTTGAGCAGGTTGAAGTGGTGATGATGAGGAAGTTTGTGACTTACTGCGAGAATTGTAAGTCTGAGGGCGCAATTGATTTGCCGATATTTGTTTCAACCTGTCGCAACAGTAGCCCAAAGCCAGATGTGGGAGTTTGGAGGCCAAGAGAAAGTTGGAAATTTCCGTGGAAAGAAAGAAAGAGGCAATTCAGAAGGAGTAAACCACGACCGAAAGAGCGCAGTGGAGGCGAACCTGCCTAATTGAAAGCGCGTCGCAACGCGTCGAGCTCTCCGGCGGTTGCAGGGGGTTTAATGTCTATTACGTCAGCCAGCAGCACTCGCGCTGGTCCCTGCATGGCCCGAGCTTCCCCTGTTGGATTTTTGGATGGAAATTTTGTTGCATCTGCAGATCTGCAACTTTTGATCATCGCAAAGTCAAGTGCATAGCTTGCGCTTCCACCATACAACACACGCACACAATGGCTACGACATTGATGCCCTTCCTCTACCAAACGAGGACAATCCTCAGGGCCTCCGTCTCTGTTCGATCCTTCTCAACAACCGCGGGCCGGCTCCACCCCCGAAGCCGCGGCGCGCAAAGCATCCCCTTCGAATGGGATGGCCCTGCCCAAGAACGAACCGATATCCCCAGCGGCCCGGACGGCGAGAGAAAGTCCACCATTACCCCGACCGAGAGACAGGTTTTCCGTGCAATCTTCGACGACATTGCGAAGCGCGGTGGCCAGGTCCCGCCACAGGCTGCTACCCCAGGCGCTGCAGACGACGCCTCTTCTTCCTTGCAAGTCGAACCCGAACCCGAGTCCGGATCTCGCGATGCCATCCTCCGCAAATACCCCCCTGCTCTGCGCCGCGCGGCTGAGGTCGCGCTTGGAATGCGCCAGGTGCAAGGCGACCAGCTGACCTCGTCGCGCATCTCCTTCAAGCCGGAAGAGGAGCTCGAATCAGACCTGGAAGAAGCCACCAAGCTCGAAGCTGCGCGGAGGGACGCCCGCGCCCAAGAAGCTGTCCGCCTACAGGCCCTTCTGGACCAGTGCAACACAGACGTTGAGGTCTGGAACGTTTTGGAACGCGACGTCTTCTCCATGGTCGCAAGGCTGGGTATCTCTGAAGACAAGCAGCGCCAGCCGGATCCGGAAAAGAAGGTCAAGCCCTCGTTGCACAAGAAATCATCCAAAAAGGCCCAGCCAGACGCCCTCAGCATGGACTCGCATGGTCCGCTGTACTCCATGCACCTCCTCCAAGGCCTCAAGACGCTGGACCAGTCCTTTGCGCACTCCTCCCCACTGGCGTTGAACGTCCTCCCGCGGGTCAAGGAGCTCGGCCTTGCCTCGTATGTCCTCGGCGTCTCTACGCCATTCTACAACGAGCTGGCCTCTATACTCTGGTACCGCCACGGTGACACACAGGCTGTGCTCGCCGTGCTGGACGAGATGCAGTTCGCCGGTCTCTTCTACGACATGCAGACGCTGCGCCTCATCGATACCATTGAGCTGGCCCTAGACTCGTTTCGTGGCGGCAAGCTGGGGGTGTTCTCCCAGGCTGTTGGCACCATGCCAGGCTACAATCTCGATGTCAAATCTAGGGTGGCGCGTTACGCGCGAAGGGTCCGCCATAGCCTCAGGGAGCACAGAGGTAGTGCGCGATACTAGGACTCCTGGTGTACAGTAAGATGGTGATGGATAACTGCTGCCAAGGCCTGAGAGAGGCGAGGCTGCTTGTACAAGACACTGTAACATATCTGTAAACATAACACTCCGCATAGCGAATCCTCATCAGGATTGGAACCATGGATAAGGCGCACGACGTTCCTGGTTCATGTATGTAATCAAGATTCAATAACACCAAAAGTTCCAACATTTCCAAGGCATAGACGCGCTATATTGGGCATCTCGATATTGGCTGAGACATTAGAAGCAGACCATATGCGCCTTGCGATTTCCTCCCTAGGAAAAGAAGAGGACAGACAGGCTGAATAGGGCAGAACAGAATAGGAAACTACTATTCCACTGGCTTCTCAAGCGGGCAGCCGGACTTCAAACCGGACTTGTTGGGCTTCAAAGAAGATCGGTGGCCCCGAGGAATTTTTAAGCCTTTTAGGTTCTTGTAAGCCTTCGGGAACTAAACAAGTGTGCTCACCCCCACGCCATAAATCCATTCCTGGCTATCCTTGAGCACTTTTCTCTCAATGTCTTTGTTCTCAGCCCTAGATCGGTAGACTTCACCCCCTCCCAAGATTCCAAATGGGTTTGAGAAGGGTTTGGGCCTGGTCGACAGTTTTAGTTATTAGCCAGGGCGTCCCACAGCCATGTTGACGGGAAGGGCGTTATTTCGTCTTCTTTCACTACATAAACCTGTTAGAGACGGTGCAACGCCGCCAGGAGAGAGGGCTTGGCCTGCTTGCTGCCACTTCTTGGATCTGAGATGTGTGCTGGAATCGTCCGATGGAGAGGCCGTAGCTGAGGACACACCTCTGTGCGGAAGACTGAGGCTTCTGGTCCCTGGATGGAATCTCGTGAGCTGGTTGTATTACTCCTCGATCCTGTCAAAGACTACACGTGCTTCCTTTCGAAGCTTCACTGCGTGGGCCGAAAGCTTCAGGCCATGTTCAACTTATATGATTCAGTCAGGCAGTTCAATTCAACACTTACAACGAACTCATTTCTGAAGACTCAACCCGTGCAGAACTGCCGTGCCAAGATGCTGGGCGTTCTTTCTTTGTGGCGATCCAGCTTAAGGGCCTTGGAAAACGTCATGGGCGACACTGGAGAAGAGACTTTGCGTCGGTGGATGATTTCTAGATAACTCCTACGGCAAGACAGTGAGGTAACATCGCCGATCTTTAGTCAAGATGGATAAGCTTGAGGTATTTTGGTCAACATGACTTCATTCTGAGAGGTATATTAGCATACCAATGAGGAATTTGGTAGGCGCCGTAAGGGATCAACGCAAATGGTAACTCAAGAATATACTGAGGGCGTGCGAAGATGAATCAGTGATCGATCCTAGGTGATCCTAGGTAAGTGTAAGCATGAAGATGAAGCAGTACTCATACCTAGTCTAACTCCTGCAAGCAGTATACCCGCCTGAAGAACTGTAATAATGGTCAAGTTGAATTTAAACCACGAGCACAATCAATGCCTCACTCAGTACGAGCCAGAGGGAGTTAATGAGTAAGATTAGCGGCGAGAGTTTGACGTTGATTCACCAAGAGGCAAGAAACACGATGCACTCCGTTTTCTCATGAGTCAACTCCACATATGACTCTGAAATAAAGGCTTTATGGTCAGATTTTCAAAACTACATCAAAAGAAAAGACACCAACCAATCCAACAAGGACGCCAGCCATACAATGAAACAAAAACACAAAATGGGGTGCGTACACCCTGAGCAAAAGGTAAAGTTGCGGCCAGTGTGGATTGAACACACGACCTTCAGATTGATTGAATGAAGTTTCTTGGGTTCAGAACCCACTTCAGTCTGACGCTCTCCCAACTGAGCTATGTCCGCCGCTATCTTCGAGGTCCTTTTGGAAGTGGTGGTACTATGGATCCTGAGCTCTCCGTCGCGAAGAGTTGGTAGAGGTTGCGCGAATATTACGGTTGAAAGTTCTAGAACAATTCCTCGTATGCATAGAACGTGTCAGAAACCTTAAACCAGAGTCATGAAGGTGGTGTGCTCAAGACCCGGGATGGGTGCTTATAGCGAGTCACTCTGAGACATCACCAAAAAGAGAATGAACGAATGAATGAAACTTCAGCTTCAAATAAGGTAGACTTTATTATGCCAAAATTTTCCAAATGCTCCGTAGAAGAAGGACTCCCTCGGCTTCGCTAGCTGATGCGGCCACAATGCCTCCATGTCTTGGTTGAAAAAAAAAAATAACTGCTTTTCATATCGCAGAGTCATGAACCCATATGAACATCGCAAATCCCTCTCTCACACACTGCTTCCAAGCAGTCTAAGCTCCTCAACATCCCAATACCTTTGCTTACCACCCGCGTGTGGCCAGCTTCTCCTCGGTCTTCAAGCTGTCGCAGTTGATGCCGACCATGGCCTCACCAAGTCCCTCACTGCACTCGGCGAGGACCTTGGCGTCCTTGTAGTGCGTCGTCGCTCTCACAATAGCCTTGGCGCGCTTGGCCGGGTCGCCAGACTTGAAGATGCCGCTGCCGACAAAGACACCGTCGCAGCCGAGCTGCATCATCAGCGCCGCGTCCGCGGGGGTGGCGACACCGCCGGCGGCAAAGTTGACGACGGGGAGGCGGCCGAGCTCGGCCGTCTGCTGGAGGAGCGTAGAGTCGACCTCGAGCTCTCTCGCCAGGGCGCGGATGCCCAGGATGCCCTCGGTGGCGAGGACGCCCTTGGCGCGCGCAATGTCTCTGGTGACCTGCTTGACGTGGGTGACGGCCTCGACGACGTCGCCGGTGCCGGCCTCGCCCTTTGTGCGGATCATGGCGGCGCCCTCTGCGATTCTGCGCAGGGCCTCGCCGAGGTTGCGGCAGCCGCAGACGAAGGGGGCCTTGAAGTCGGCCTTTTCGACGTGGTAGACCTTGTCGGCCGGGGTGAGAACCTCGCTCTCGTCAATGTAGTCGACGCCGAGGGCCTCGAGGATCTGGCACTCGACAAAGTGGCCGATGCGGGCCTTAGCCATGACTGGGATGGTGACGGCGTTCTGGATCTCTCTGATGACGGCAGGGTCGGACATGCGGGCGACGCCGCCGTCCTTGCGGATGTCTGCCGGGACGCGCTCCAGGGCCATGACGGCGCAGGCGCCGGCCTCCTCGGCGATGCGGGCCTGGGCGGCGTCGGTCACGTCCATGATGACACCTCCCTTGAGCATCTGGGCGAGTCCGGCCTTGACGGCGAACGTGTTCTTGGCATCGCCGTTGGTGCCGTTAGGCTTGGTTGCGTCGTTGTTGGTCATTGTGATGTGAGTTGAATAGTGACTTTTCGGGGGTATCTTTGAGAAGGATGAACCGCTATGAGATGAGCGATAATAGTGAGTTGAAGAGGTGTGAGGTGAGATGATACAGAAGGTCTGAATGAAAGAGACGGGAATAGGACGGCTCTGGAAGTGAGGGGTATCTTTTTTTCAATCAATCAGAGAGAAAGGAGGGCCTCAAAATGGTTAACGAGGATTCAAGATGCTCCGCTTCACGATGGGTCTGGTTGTATGTCATGAAATCCGGGGAAAAGGGGTCTCGAGAGTGAGATGTGAACGGAGGGGGGCCAAATATGTATTATGGCGACAGACAACAACTTCGATGATGACACGGGATGTCCAGCGAGGGGTCCAAGATTGGACGAAGAGTGAGAGAAAAATTTTACACTTCTGCTGTACCGAGTCATCCCGTCTTTCCCGCGGATCGCTTCCATTTGCTTGGAGAACAAGACTGAACGGTGGTGGTACAGGAAAAACCCTCCGCCTAGGCGAGCCGAGCAAAGCAGCGCATGGTCCGCGACTGAGTCGGCGGCGACACTTGGCCGTAGGGGACCCCTAGGGCCGAGCTTACCACCCAGCAAGTCTGCAGATAGTCATGAAAACGGTGTACCTACTGCGTAGTAGACTGCGACTCTGTGAGATGGATGGCCTGTAGCGAGCATGGAGGGGCAAGACGGGTCAGGGCCCGATCTCGGAAAGGCAAGATACGGTTACTCCGGGACCCGGTACATGGACAACCTTAATGGAATGGCAGTGTCATCGAAGTATCCCCCGAAGGCAAGTCGCAGGCCATGGCGGGCGCGGAAGGCGGCCCAGTCCCACGCACCGGTGTTTGAACGGGTGGCGGGACACAGGTCTGGATGTCTGGACTCTTGACACGCTTCCCTTGGTATTACCCGATAAGGAGAAAGCTGAGGGTTTCGCGCTGTGGGACGTGTTCGTGTTGTGGATGGATCATGGCCCGACATATTCTCTTGATCATGGGTCACTCTGACAATGCGCGCATATAGTGTAGGTAATCGTAATACCAATGTACATCTCACCCTGGTAGCTCGCAACCCGGCTGAGCCAAATGCTTCCTCCACAATTGGTGACAAGTTTCTACCGACCTTCTACATGCTCCGAACGGCGGCGACAGTTACCAAAGACTGAAGGGCGGGCGGAGAGCAGAGCGGTTGTCATCGGATGTAGATCCGAGCGATGCTCCTCCGGCCCCTCCAACACACCCGCCCTGCCGCTCCCTTCAAGTCAGTTCCGCGCGGGACAACACCCAGATCGCCCCATCTTGTTCCGCCCGAGCTGCAGAGTCAAGCTGGAACAAGCTCCGTATGCATGGAATCCTCTCTCGCTGTGCCGCTACAGTTCTATCATCCGTGCCTCCATCTGGCGGGGCGCCTTTCCCTGTCCCGTTGCTCCGCCAGTCACTGACATCAATTATGAAGTAGTATAACACCATTTGCATGGATCTTTCGTCTTGACATCAAGCAGTCCCGCGCCCTTTACGCCCTTTGCGCCCACAACAACGGTACATTCCTGGCTAATAATCTGTGGACTTCCTACAGCTGAGCAAGTCGGCGGCGAACTACTGCTAAGCCCACCGTTACATGGCCGCCAGCCAACCTCTCTGACTAACCCGCCGATTACTGCAGTGCGGGCGACGCAAAGTACCTTACTTTAGCTAGCAAGGGTCTTCAAGGAAGCCGTTATCGCCAAGGCCGACGAAGCAACCCCCAAATCCCCGTTATCCTAATTATCTTGCGCGGATAGCCTACAATCTTTTTGCTGCTCTTCGCCGGTCCGGGGCGTGGTCTCCGACTTCATTCGTTCATTGTCTGTGTAAATGACTCAAACACAACAATCGGAACCCTTTGCGACTCTATTACTACCTATCATCCTCAAGAACCCTGCTGAACGTCACCGGCCTGTGAGCGTTGAACCTTACAACACACATCTCCAAATGTCTTCACTCACCATCGGCGTTCTGGCCCTTCAAGGCGGCTTCCGTGAGCATGTCCAGCTCGTGCGGAAGGCCGCCGTCTACCTCGCTACGGCCGAGTCCTCGGTGCCAAGCCCGAGACCCGAGATCGCTGCCATCGAAGTCCGCACCGAGGCAGAGCTCCGGAGTTGCGATGCCCTCATCATTCCAGGCGGAGAGAGCACCACAATCTCCTTCATCGCGGCGCAGTCCGGGTTGATGGAACCCCTCAAGGAATTCGTCAAGTAAGCCACCTCACTCAACTCTCACTCACCCAAAGATCCGAGTTTGTTTCCATGATGTCATTTGCGAAATAGAGTGGATTGCACACCCCATTCGGTTATTTTTCACTCGTATTCTCACTCATTCACTCACTCACTTTTTGCGAATACCTTGGAGGTCTTGGAGAGAGTTTCCCCGTGAGACAACGTCTAATTCTTATTCTTTCTTTTAGAGTCGACCGTAAGCCAGTCTGGGGAACCTGCGCCGGCGCCATCCTCCTCGCTGATGAGGCAAATGCCACCAAGAAGGGCGGCCAAGAGCTCATCGGCGGCCTGGGCGTGCGCGTCCACCGCAACCACTTTGGCCGACAAATTGAGAGTTTCGTCGCGGACTTGAACCTGCCCTTCCTGACGCAGGGCGACGGCAACACGAAAACGGCGTCGTCCCCTTACCCTGGCGTCTTCATCCGCGCCCCAATCGTTGAGGAGATCCTCTCCACCGAGGCGGGCGACAAGAGCGACAAGCCGGCCTCCTCGGCTGTCGAGGTCCTTGCCGTTCTTCCGGGGCGAAAGACCAAAGCCGCTGAGGGCGTCAGCCAGAGCACCGCGGACGACGCGGTCGGCGATATTGTCGCTGTGAGGCAGCGCAACATCTTTGCCACGAGTTTCCACCCTGAGCTCACTGACGATGTCCGCATTCACGTTTGGTGGTTGGAGCAGGTGATGAAGGCTGCGGCACCGACATCATCCGCATGATTGGGGCCTTCTTGACGGAGATTTTGTTTTCACGAATGGAGCGAAGTGATGTCACGCCGCATATTCGCAAATGCGGAAAAATGAGAAAAGATTTACATACGAAGCCATTGACGAGATGTGTCCTAGTTACCGAGGGCGTATCGTCTCTGCGTCGACGTTGAGGGGTGGCATACACCACCTATGCCACAATTATGCCACCAGAGATGCCACCGGGGGCGACAGTTTCAAGTCACATCTCATCACATTTCACATCCCACTCGGCTGGCAACAATTGGAAAAGAGAGAGAGAGAAGAGGGCCATCTTGCATCACGCACAGACGCAACGGGAGGAGATTTGCAGATCTTAGTGCTGGCCAGCCTGGTAGCAACGGGTGGGCAGAGAGTTTGCGTAGCGCTGCCTTTGTCGTTGGAATGAGGAGAAATGGGCTAGTGACATCCGTGGCTTGCGCGGAATTTGGGCCTCCCGCCAATCCAGACACATCATCAGATCATGCGCGAGCCGAGGGTTTGCCCGTGAGTACGGGCCGGTAAACAAAAAAAAACCGTGAGATGATGGACTAGCTACGGTCGGGGTCCCGCGGGAGGAGGAGTCGAAGGAAGCGAGGCGGCCCCG